ACAATTATGAACATTCCTGGAAAAACGAAGGATGGCAAGAATGCGCGGTTAGATTTGCAAGAGTGGGGTGTTCGTCCGGAGTGTGGGTTCAAGCTAAGGTAGAGATGGAGAAGGTTAAGGAAAAGGGAAACGAAGATGGTGGTCAAAACCGTAAGGGGAAGCGCAAGGACAAGGCCACGGGTATCGCAAAGAAGAAAGGTGATGGAAAAGGAAAAAACCAAAAGGTGTATTTACCTCCAGCTTGCTACACATTATCAAAGGAAGAAAAACGGAGGTTTTGTGCTTGTTTGTATGACATTAAGCTTCCTTCTGGGTTCTCGTCAAACATGAAAAGGTTTGTTTCCTTAAATGGAGAATTGAAGTTGACAAGTATGAAATCCCATGATTGTCACATGATGATGCAAGTTTTCCTACCGATTGCACTTCGTGGAATTTTACCAAAGCACGTGAGAGAAGTTATAACAAGCCTCTGTGGGTTTTTCAATACTATCTGCAGCAAAGTTCTTGATCCCTTTACAATTGATGCTCTCCAGGCGACTGTTGTGGTAACTTTGTGCAAATTTGAGATGTTTTTCCCACCTTCACTTTTTGATATAATGGTGCATTTGATTCTGCATTTGGTTCGTGAGATTAAGTTGTGTGGTCCAGTATTTATGAGGTGGTGCTACCCTTTTGAACGACACATGGGTACACTGCAAGATAAAGTAAGAAATCCAGCCCACCCGGAAGGCAGTATAATACAAGGAATTGTGTCCGAGGAGATTGGGAATTTCGTGGCAGAGTATGTTGCCGTTGCCGAACCTATTTGGCTTCCTACATCCCGACATGAAGGGAGACTTGATGGTCATGGCACAATCGGGTCAAAAAGGATCTGGGCTGCTCGAGATCAAATCATGCAAGCTCACTTATTTGTGCTTCATCATATTGCGGAGGTTCACCCATATTTAGAAGAGCACATGGATAGTTTGCGTGTTGAATATCCATCAAAAGGGGAAAGAGCACTAATGCTGTTGCATAATAAGATGTTTGTGAAGTGGTTCCATGATCGTGTGATGCGTCAATTGGATGAGACTGTGTCTGATACAATAAAGTGGCTAGCTTATCGTCCGAAGGAAGATGTTCATTCATTTGAGGGATATGATATAAATGGGTACACATTTTGGACTGAAAGTCGGGATCAGAAATACTCATCGACTCAAAATAGTGGTGTCACTCTTGTGGCTTCATCAAGAGAGTTTGCCAGTGCGAAGGATACATCACCAGTTGACGCACTATTATCATACTATGGACGAATTCAGGAAATATGGGAACTAGATTACCGTGACTTCAAGGTTGTATATTCAAGTGTAAATGGGTCGATAATAATAGGCGCAACGTGAGAAATGATGACTTCACTCTTGTAGATCTTGGCCACTTGCGGGATAGTCTTGAACCATTCATCCTTGCATCTCAAGCTAAGCAAGTGTTCTATGTAACTGACCCGTACGATCCAAGATGGTCCATCGTCCTATCTGGCAAAAGGAGAATTTTAGGGGTTGGAGAGGTTGAGGACGAGGAAGAATATGATGCATTTGATGATTCTCCCCCTTTCACTGCTCCTACACTTGATGTAGCAACTGATGTAGATGATGATGCTACTTATATTCGATCTGACCACAATGAGGGAATACTCGAATGAGGTACTTTATTAATGCATGTTTCATTTACTAAATATCTTATACTCCAACAAGTTTGTTTTTATTTCGGGAAGTGTTTTATTTTTTTTGTATTTTCAACGTATAAGCATGTAATATTCACTAAATACATGAATTGTTTAGAGGATTATATGTGAATTTGTTATGAAACCAAAGAAGTTGGGTAAGTGTTTGTCTTTCATCGTGCCTCAGAATTGATTGCCATTACTGATGACTAACAACATGCTTTGCTTGTTTACTGTAGGTGTGCACATATCATGGATCCTGATGAGAACCTTCATTCTGATAAGGATATAGATGATGATTCTGGGGACGAGTTGTATGATGTTAATAAGGAGACATATATGGGGGAACCGAAAGACCAAGCTTATGACCAGTTCCAACATAAGCTTGATGAATTTGAGCGTATAGCTGAAACTGCCCCACCTATTAATGATAATGTGGTTACCGAAGTTGTAGGTGATTCACATTGTGAAACTCAAATGCAAAGGCAAGTGAAAAAAACCGGTGGTGGAGGAGGGGTAAAGCCACCGGTGAACAGAAAAAGTAAGGGTGCAACTAAAGCTTTCAAGAAACCCGGCGTTCCTATGGTGCTTGAGTTTGATGAGTTAGGTCAACCTACTGGCCAATGGCGCGACAAATTTTCTAGTCAAGTTGGCATTCTAACTCGTAAAATACCAATCACAGTTGAGTTTGCCGAGATACCTCACGGGTTGCTTCAAACATTTTGGGACGATACTATGGTAAGTATTTATTTAATGCAATCAAACTTTTTTTTTTAAATTCATATATATTAAAAAAAATACTTGCAAAAACAACCCCCGGGCCTAACCCGAGGACTACAGCTGGCAGCTGCCCGGGGCTGCTTCCTTGGTGCTGCAGCTGCCTGGGCTGCTGCCTGGGTGCTGTAGCTGCCTGGGCTGCTGTAGCTGCCTGGGCTGCTGCTTGGGTGCTGCAGTTGCCTTGGCAGCAACCTGGGCTAGCTGCTGCAGCTGCCTCGGCAGGTGCCTTGCCCGATTCTCGGGTTTTTTTTTTTCCTTTTTTTTTGCATGTTTTTTTGTCTTGCCTAACGTGGATGTTTGCGCCAATTACAGAGTATGTTCCATATTCCTGACGAGCCGACCAAGAGAAAAGTGTTTGAATCTTTTGTACAAGAGAGATTCAAAAACTTCAAGAGTTACTTGAGGACGAGATGGATCCATAAGAGAAGAAAGAGAAGACCAAAGAAAAATGTGCCTGCAGATGGAGAAGAAGAGAAACCTGATAAGAAACCGTGGGATTTATATCCACAAATAACGGTGGATGATTGGGAGAAGTTTGTGGAAAAAATCTTCCACTAGGACCGCACTTGTATGTTTTTATTTAACAATAGAGTCGGCTACTCATATTTAGTTTCTTAAAATGACTGATGCTAACATATATATCTGAATGTGTAGGAAAAAACCGAACAAGCTAGAATAAATGCGGGAAAGAAATTGTATAATCATCATATGGGTTGTAAGACCTTTGCGGAGTCAAGACCAAAGTGGGTCAAAGCGGGTCTATACCCCAAATCCATAATGTCATCATCAACTGATAAACCACTTTCTTCCTCGGTGACAACTTTGGTTACTCGTGCAATTGACTGGTGGTGTGCTATGCATGGGTTGGACAAGGAAACCGGCAAGTATGTCATGCAACCGGATAAGAAAGTAGTAGCAGATGCACTTGTAAGCAAATTTTTCTACTTATTAATTATATTCCTTGTCAAGTACATTGTACTTAGATCTGATAAATTTTTATGTGTTGTTAAAGCTCGAGCATACTTCGGAAGTGGTTGAAGGCAAGCTGACTCCAAGCATCGCACATGATCCTTTCACCTTAGCTTTGGAAAAAAACCATACCACCCTGGGCGAGTAATTGGTTTTGGCGGGAAACAACTAGGGTGGGAGAAGGTGATGGGTTCAGAATACACCAAATCAGCAAAAAGCAGATCAAGTGTTAATTCGCCAAATCGGATTGATGAGAAGGAAAAGGAATCAATTAAGGCGGAGATACGCGCGGAGCTGCAAGAACAGATGCAAAGTCAATTCAATGCCATTCTGAAGCACATGAACTTGCCGCCTTTGCCATTTCCCTCGAGTACCCCAGTAGACTCATGTAGTCACCCAGGAGGCCCCGAGGACGATCCAGTAGTTGAGAGAGAGGTAATTTTAGTACTAGGACGAATTACGTCATATGAAGTTCGTCTAATGAGGTCGTTTGTATGTTTAATTATTTTACTTTTGCAGGATCCAAGTCCTACGGATGCAGAGACACTGAAGAGAGCAAATCCGATGCCTGAACCTTTCCTAGATGTTAAGGTGAACTTCACTACCTAATCAGATTTTCTTATGTTAGGCTTTCGTTTATTATTTCTTAATTTATGTCCTAACTCCTAACCAAATATGTAGGAAGAGACGCTTGTGAGCTTCTTCACCCCAGGGAAACAACCGGTGGACAGTTGCAGTTGGTGGGGTATGGTAGTGCACAACCTTTTGACAAGGTGCATTTTAAGTCTAAATACTAGCACCCATTACATCTCGGTCGGGATCGATTCTATAGTTGCTGGGTTTGAGGACTTACCACTACCGGTGCCTAGAGAGGAATATGATTTTTTTAAGCTGCGTGACGCGACCGGGAGCTTTGTGCAATGGCCACGTGATCGGTTGAGGTTAGTAGGAGGGGTAAGTAAACAATACTTGTATGTAACTAGATTAACATGTGCTTTGTGCAATGACCATGTTTGTTTATGCAGTAGATTACTATGGAAATTCAGTCCGCTAAAAGAAAGAAGGTGGAGAAGCAAAAATCCAAGGAAGAAGGTCCTCCGAAGATGGAACAAGGACAAGTGTCGAAGAAGAGTTCGAGAGCTTCATCTACTCCACTAGTAGAAGCCAAAGTCCTTAGGTCGCTTTCGAAAGCATGTACTTTTCTTCACAACCGTGTTAGTGAGTTGCCTACGAGTACACATATTCAAGTGAACTTGCCTAAGGCATTGTTCCACTATGATGAGGATGCGATCGCATACATTTCTAGAGAGGATGTGACAGAATTTAATAACACGGTTCCATGCTTAACATATCCATCATTCAAACATTCATGAGGTAAATTAACGAGACTATTTCTAAAAAATATTGTATTTTTGATATTTTTCATACCAAAACAATGCAACTAGTAATTACTTGCACACATTACTTTCTTGAAGGTCACTACAGGAGCTCCTTGCTAGTAAACCCGATGGTGAAGCAGCAATTGGGTGGTTAATGCCCCGAGCAGACCTCCGTAACCAAATGCTTGAATAACCCTCGTGATGTGATAGATTACCTTGAGCGGGCTATTAGAGAATCAATGCGTGCGGGAAACAAGTTCTTATTAGCCCCTTGTTTTGAGGAGTAAGTGTAAATATATCACTCTTAGTTTGTTTGTTAAGTATAGATGTTGACGCATAATTGATTGATATGATATTTGCTTTAATATACATGTAGTCTACATTGGAGCCTTATGGTGATTTGTGTTTCCAATAACACAATCTACTACTTTGACTCGGCTCGTATATGGCCACCAAGGAAGTTGCTAGTGAATAACCTATTGAATAGGTACATACCGCTTCCTATATATGTTTTGTATCTTCACTTAAGTGATTGAGTGACTATGTTCCTAAATCGTTTGTTTTTTATTTTTTTGAAGTGTTATGAAGAAGTTGAATTGTCGTTCGGTTGCGGGTCCCACGTGGAAATATGCGAAGGTAAAGCCTCGATATATTGATTTTTTTTAAAAAATTGCCTTGAGTTTTGGCTATGCATGACTATTTTAACATTGTGTCAGTTTAGTGTGCGCAACAAGACAACAACGTTGACTGTGCCCTCTACGTGATGAGGTTTATGAATGACATAGTCAATAGGTGCACTGAAGCCCAACACATTGAGGAGGTACTTGTTTTTACTTTTTCCGGTTTGATTTCGGGTAAAAGCCGTCCTAAAACTAAGTATAATGCTAATTTACTATGATTTCAAACATTAGATACCTAAGAATAGTTATAATTGACATGTTATGATAAAGAAATTGCTCATTAGATAAGAAATGTAGAAATCGGGCAACGTAGTAGTGAAATAGGCGATTTCGGGTAAAAGCCATCCTAAAACTAAGTATAATGCAAATTTGCTATGATTTCAAACATTAGACACCTAAGACTAGTTATAATTGACATGTTATGATAAAATAAATTGCTCATTAGATAAGAAATGTAGAAATCGGGCAACGTAGTAGTGAAATAGGCGATTTCGGGTAAAAGTCGTCCTAAAACTAAGTATAATGCTAATTTGCTATGATTTCAAACATTAGACACCTAAGACTAGTTATAATTGACATGTTATAATAAATAAATTGATCATTACATAAGAAATGTACAACGTAGTAGTGAAATAGGCGATTTCGGGTAAAAGTCGTCCTAAAACTAAGTATAATGCTAATTTGCAATGATTTCAAACATTAGACACCTAAGACTAGTTATAATTGACATGTTATAATAAAGAAACTGCTCATTAGGTAAGAAATGAAGAAATTGGGAAAGTGAGCACCCGAGGCAACAACCTCGGGTTATGCTAGGCAGTTGCAAGCAGCCAGCCACCAAACTGCAACAGCTGCCAGGCAGCCGCAGCAGCAGCCTGTGCAGCTGCCCAGGCACCAGCAGCAGCCTAGGCAGCTGCAGCAGCAGCCTAGGAGCTGCACAGGCAGCTTCCAAGGCAGCTGCAGCAGCCACCAGGCAGCTGCACAGGAAGCATCGATCCGGTCGTGAAACCGAGTCGTTCATGCAACTTTGTGTAATTTTTGCGTACTTGCATTGTTAGTGTATTATGGACAATGTTTGTGAAAAATAATTCAAAACGGAATAAAAATATAAAAAAAGGGCAAGTAGAAGTGGAAAAGGCGATTTTGGGTAAATGTCGTCCTAAAACTGAGTAAAATGATCTTTTGCTCTGATTTCAAACATTAGACACCAAAGACTAGTTGTAATTGACATGTTATGATAGATAAATAGCTCATTAGATAAGAAATGTAGAAAACGGGCAAAGTAGTAGTGAAATAGGCGATTTTGGTTAAAAGCCGTCCTAAAACTTAGAATAATGCTAATTTGCTATGATTTCAAACATTGGACACCAAAGACTAGTTTTAATTGACATGTTATGATAGATAAATAGCTCATTAGATAAGAAATATAGAAAACGAGCAAAGTAGTAGTGAAATAGGCGATTTCGGGTAAAAGTCGTCCTAAAACTTAGAATAATGCTAATTTTCTATGATTTCAATATCGGACACCAAAGACTAGTTGTAATGGACATGTTATGATAGATAAATAACTCATTAGATAACAAATGTAGAAAACGGGCAAAGTAGTAGTGAGGCGATTTCGGGTAAAAGCCGTCCTAAAACTTAGAATAATGCTAATTTGCTATGATTTCAAACATTGGACACCAAAGACTAGTTGTAATTGACATGTTATGATAAATAAATAGCTCATTAGATAAAAAATGTAGAAAACGGGCAAAGTAGTAGTGAAATAGGCGATTTCGGGTAAAAGTCGTCCTAAAACTAAAGTATAATGCTAATTTGCAATGATTTCAAACATTAGACACCTAAGACTAGTTGTAATTGACATGTTATGATAAAGAAATAGCTCATTAGATAAGAAATGTAGAAACCGGGCAAAGTAGTAGTGAAATAGGCGATTTTGGGTAAAAGCCATCCTAAAACTTAGTTGAATGCTAAATCGGGCAAGTTAGAATGATGTATGAAATATTTAACATATATACATTATTATTTTTAATTATTAGTTTGAATTTTATGTAATATATATGAATGATGTCTAATGTTTGGTATTTTTTTTGTTTTCAAAGGTATGTAAAAGGGAAGGCCCTTTGACAAAGGAAGAGGTTGATGAAATTCGCGACATGTGGGCTTTTTTTGTGACATTTGATGGCATCTAGGTAGAATATATAATATATATGTGTTTGTTAGATTGATTTTTATTTTGTTTTTTTTTATGAACAATAAATATTTATATTTAGTTTTATGTTACCGTATCTTTTTTATTTTTATATATAGTACGTAAATCCATATGTACATTATATTACTTATTTGTAATTATTACTATACATTATTTATGAGTTTTATATATGTTATTATTATTATGCATGTTATTGTTATTGAATTATTATTATTCCAAAATTTGTAATATTTTTAATTAATTATTATTTATTAATATTAATTAATATTATTAATTAATAATAATATTATTAATAAATAATTTTTAAAAAAACTGGAATAATGTGCTTCTAAAAACAGGTCACTAATAATATTATTATTATTAATTATTATATATATAATAATAAAATAAAAAAATAAAACTACAAATGGGAAGCGGTTTGGCGCCAAAACCGCTTCCCATTTGCACTGCACATAAGGTTATGTGAAGTGCAAATGGCCAGCGTTTTGGCGCCAAACCGCTTGCCATTCCCCCCAAATGGGAAGTGGTTGTGAACCGCTGGCCATTTACATGGCAATTGGGAAGCCCCCCAAACCCATGCGGTTCAAAACCGCTTCCCATTTGGGGTTTTGAACCGCTTCCCATAATGTTTTTTCTACTAGTGACAGGACCTGCGTTTTATTTACAAATGAGTGTCGTTTTGCGGCGGATGCACCATGCGGATCGTGCATCCGCTTGCAGGAACCACCGATTATTCCAAACATAGTATACATGTCACGTGGTGCTCTCCTCTATGTTTTCCATTACATGTCAAATGTCATTAATTTATAATAAAAATGTTACTCATGAAATTCGAACTTGCAACCTAATTGTATGAACGAACCCGGACCTGAATTATTGATTTTTAAGGACCGGGGGACCGTGGTTCCGGTCTAGACCTAAAAAATCAAGTCCGGTCCGGGTTTGGACCTGGATAGAGCTAATTAGTTTTTTTTTTCTTTTTCTTTTTTGAATAAAAAACCTGCTGACCTATTTATTGACATGTTAAATTAAAAAAGCAGCTTTATCGGTTTTAAATTCGGACCTGAAAATTTTGGATTTTCCCCGAAACGGACCTGAAACCTGGAATCCTGGATTTTTAAGGATCGAGATCGGACATGAATTCACCGGTATAGTTTCTATCCGGTCCAAACAAGTCCGCTTCAGGTCGGTTTTTCAGGTTCGGACCAGTTTGTGAACACCCCTAACACCAAGCTATGTCATACTTTATGTTTTTTTTTGATGCAAAATATTAATGTGTAGCGAATGACAATATGAATAACCAAAATTTTTTGAAAAAAATATGAATAACAAATTTAATTACAAAAACTATTGGGTTATTAATTAAAATGTAATATCATAATATACTTCCATGTAATGACCCGGGGTATTGTCTGAGCCCAAATACTAGACTGAAGAAACCATGTAAACTTAGTTTGATTTTGTATGTATGTTAATTTAATTATTAGCCCTATTTAAATGATTGAACTTGTTTATTGTTGAATGTCAAATAAATGCAAATAATAATTAAATGCTTGCATCATCATTTGCCTAGATACCCGTTCGAGTCTTTCTCAATAGGAGAAAGTCTTGAATAGTCCCCAGTTGGGACTGTTCTTGGACGTTTAATCTCACTTAGGTAGTGAATGTATGTCTCTTTTTCGATTTTAAGGAATATCCGGGCTTCTCATTTTCTCACCATGTTCTCTGGGTACATATGTAGGTAAGTTATTACCTACATCGTGTACTTGGAGAACTGGGGGAAAATGCTGCCGGATTTTCCTTAAAATTGAAAAGTTGACATACATTCACTAGTGAGATTAGACGTTCAAGGATGGGTTAGGTTGGAGTGATAAGGACCTTTTGGGAGCATTCATTTTTACGATTTATGGATGATATATATGCTATATATGTACTTTGATTACATAATATATGTTACATTTATCATTGTTTGAAATGTGTTGGTATGTTTAAAGGCAATTTAAATCGTCAATGGATCGCGGTTGGATGTATGGTAGACGTGATACATTGGAATTTGTTAATGGGGTTCAAGAGTAATAATGTCATAAGGGTCAATAGTGTGGATACCATCATGTCTCATGTACAATGTCATGGGTTTAGGCCTCAATATCATGTTTGGGTTTGGCATGGTGAGAAGGGATCGTATAAGGAGAATGTTGTTGGCAATGAGACGCATGTTGAAAGTGCCGAGATTCATGTTGAAGAAGAAAATGGGAGTGATGATGGTGGTGAAGGGGATGACACCGAGGATGGTGGTGGTGATGATCACTTGGATGAGATGATGCGTGATGTTGAAGGTGAATTTGGTGACCGACCTGATGTATTTGAGTCATTATCAGAGGCTGCCAAAAAGCCTTTGTATCCTGGGTCCAAAAAATACACAAAACTCTCAGCCGTGCTTACACTATTTAACATTAAGTCTAAGCATAGCTGGAGTGACACTAGTTTCACTTCTTTGTTGACTGCGTTATGTGATATGTTCCTAGATGGGAATGAACTTCCTAATTCCTATTATTATGCAAAGAAACTAATGTGTCCATTTGGTTTGGAGTATAAAATGATACATGCGTGTCCTAATGACTGTGTTCTGTATCGAAATGAATATGAAGAGTTGGAGGAGTGTCCACGTTGCGGTAAGTCGCGTTACAAGCGATCAAGCTGCAATGCTGGTAGTAAAGGACCTCCTGCCAAGGTGTTGTGGT